CTGGAAGTGTTCCTCCAGCCTCAAATTCAAGGCTTTCACCTCTTCCACCTGAGCCTGCTGACTTTTACAATCCTACTGCAACAGTTGATATTCCCCTTGATTCTGGAAAGGTAGCTGCAAAAAATTCCATGTTGAATGTTGTTTGCTATCTTGTCACTTCAATATTTGTTGTGGGTACTACTTATGAGTTATATATTAATGGCCTTAGACTTTTCATATAGGATTTGAAGAAGAAAGAGAAAGAACTTCAGGCAAAAGAGGCTGAATTGAGAAAGAGAGAAGAGGTAAGTTCTTGTGTTAATCTTTGCCGACACAATGGCTTTTTTTCATCCTTGTTGCTTGCTTGCTTGATCAACATGCATTCATCTTTTTATTGTAATCATTTACTTGTTTAGTGCTTGTTAAGAATTTTTGCTGTTCTTCTTGTTTAATCCTTTGAATATTACAAAATTCCATAAGTTTCCATATTCATGTTGTACCACACATTCATGAATGCAGTGGCCTAATGTGCATTTGTAAATTTTGTAGTGAATTTAGGCCTCTTTTGTAGATTTTAGTTTCTATTGTCTTTGTGGTTACTTTATAAGTCTTGTTCAATGATACAGGTGCTGAAACGGAAGGAAGATGCTGCACAACGAGGTAGGCTTATTGTTTAGCTGAAAGTCATCCTCGCTGTTCTTTCTGTTGTTTATTTAAAGCTGCTATGCAGTAGTAAGAGTGACACTTTGGAACCAGGCTGCTTTTATTTTTTGTGCTTGACATTGTTTTCCTGGATTTTTACTGTATGTAGACTGTAGAGTATGTAAATACGTTCTTTTTTTTTTAAAAAAAATAAATTTATATAGCCGTTCATTTATCAATTTGTTGGAGTTTCTACATTGGTAGATATCTAGATGGTAATAAATACTGGTAATTGTAATAAGTATATGTAATTGTAATGAGTATATGTAAATACATTCAATTATATTACTACATGCTAGTTTATCATCAATTCATCATTACACTAAATTGCTAGTTTACCATCATTTATAACCGCCTACTGAACAGAGAGACCCTAAGTTGCTTTTGCTTTACTTCTTCCTAATTCTGCTTACACTAAATTGCTTTGCATGTTAACCATTAGTGTTTTTTTTTTCTTTTTTTTTCCTGCCTAATTCTACTTACACTAGATTTTTCTTACTAGTTTCCTTCTAATATATGACCTGGCTAGACTTGATGTATTGTATGTGTTTTTTGGTTCAATAGTTGATGGCCACATTTACAATTTTTAGCTGATTCATACTTTCCCTTTGCAGCTGGAATTTTTATCGAGGACAAGAATTGGCCTCCATTTTTCCCAATTATCCATCACGACATTGGAAATGAGATACCAATTCATCTGCAGAAGTTACAGTACACAGCTTTTGCAACTCTGATAGGTCTGTTCCTTTTTTTGCCCTTTATTTACTTGTATGTTGATGTGTATTATAAGAAAGTGTTTTTAAATCGCAGTAGGTCATATTAAAGATCCAAAGGATACTCTGGTAATTTCGCACTTCTTTAACATGTACTGATCCCTTTAAAGAGTAGATGATTGTCACCTCTTATAGTTTGTCCCATAATTTCTCTCATTTTCTTGTAATATTTTTTAATAAGTTGATGGATATATTCATATTGGCCTATTTGATGAGACACAATGTCTTCGAATTGATACTTCTTCAGATTGCTTGTTCTGACATTGTCAGTGTTTGAATGTTGCAGGTTTGACACTGTGTCTCACCTGGAACATTGTAGCTGTTACTACAGCTTGGATTAAGGGTGGTGGTGAGTTGCTACTTTTGCTGTATACAAAATATACTATTGTGGCTGTGACCCTGTGATATATTGGGCTTTCTAGTCGATCTAATACATGACTTGTTCCAGATGCAACTATATGGTTCCTTGCTATTATCTACTTTATATCGGGTGTCCCTGGTGCTTATGTGTTGTGGTATCGTCCACTTTACCGGGCCTTCAGGTACTTGGTACTTAATTATTCACAATTCAAGTGCTTGTTTATTGTTTTTTTTGTTTTCCTTTTAACTTTCATACCTCCTTATTTGAGCAGGACTGAAAGTGCCATGAACTTCGGATGGTTCTTCTTGTTTTATCTGGTAAAGGCTCTTAAGACTGTTGTAAGGCTTGCTATGATTTCTGTTGGAGTAAACATATATTCACCTCTTTTTCATTCTTTCCTTTTGCAGATTCACGTTGGCTTCTGTATTTTTTCTGCTGTAGCTCCTCCTATTGTCTTTAAAGGAAAATCCCTCGCGTGAGTGTTGTATAAATTATTACCTTTTTTTTTTTGGGGGGGGGGGGGGGGTGGTCAGAATATTTGACTAACCCTTGTTTTCCTTATAAACAGAGGAATCCTTCCAGCCATAGATCTTATTAGCCAGAATGCCTTGGTTGGGGTAAGTTTTAAATCCTTATTGTTTTCGTATTACATTTTCCTTTAAAATGGATCACTTGATCCAAAATTTAGTTTGTTAAAAAAAAATATCGTTAGTTTAAGGTATGGTATGATATTATTCAGGCATTATTCTATTACTGCCTTCCCCTTACCACTTTGTTCTCTCCAAGGATCCTTTTAAAAGTTCCATTTCAAGAGTGGTGTTAGTATGGTCAATTGTGAATGCTCTTAATATTAGAGGTGATAAATTTCTATCAACTTATGTTTGCAGATTTTCTACTTCATTGGATTTGGACTATTCTGCCTTGAGTCGGTAATCAGCGTAGGGGTTCTTCAGGTCTACCTCTTCACTCCCCTATTTCTTCCTTCTCATTTCTAAATTCTAAAGGTTTTTTAAAGTAATTTTCGAATTGCATGGAGCACTAACAGTCAAAATAATATGGATATTGCAGCAAGTATACATGTATTTCCGAGGCAGTGGCAAGGCAGCACAGATGAGGCAGGAGGCTGCTAGAGGTGCCATGAGAGCCGCATTTTGATTCCATCCAATGACTGCTGAGTGCTGATTCAGGATAGTAACCCCTTGTGTATGGTAGAGAACGAAAACCATCTTTCAGCTGCACATTCCATACGTGTTATATATATCATTGTTCCTTTATTTGCTTTTCACATTTTTCATATTAGTGGATTGTGAGAGGGTTGTTTTTTTTCATAAAGGTTGTAGGTACATTAATTCTGATTTGCATATTCTATAGATGAATTTTCAAAGTTATCGCGTATTTAACTGCAATGTGTACAGTAATTTTGTTTAATTTATGGTACTGGCTACAATGTACTCCGTATGTTTACATATATTTGCTATTCTTTGCTATTGCAACAAGAATATTTGCGCGTTTTTGGTAGTGAAATTACCATCGTTCTGTATAATATATGACTTGAACTTGAGCTTGTTCCAGCCGAATCCAAATTGTACTTAAATCACATGACCTGATTGGGACCTAAACTGAAAAATGATCCTACTTGATGAGACAAGGCCCCAAAGAAATTGTGACCGCCATTATTAGCTTATTATTTGAATTGGTTGACATTAGATCTGAATGTGACCCTATCCAAATTGCATGACTAATAACTTAGGCCCCGTTTGGTTTAATGTAAAACATTTTCAATGGAAAACATATTTTCAAGGAAAACACACAATTGCAAATTAGTTTTCCTTTGTTTGGTTGCATACAAAAAAAGTCCAAGAAAAATAAAAAATAAGAGTGGAAATGGAAGGATGAATGAGAGGGAAGTAAAAAAAGAGGTAAGGAGGAGAGAGGAAAATGTGGCTTCCCTTGTTTTTGGAAGGAAAATGTTTTCCATCATTAAAGGAAAATGGGAAAAAATGGAAAATTCATTTTCCATGAAAACATTTTACATCAAACCAAACAGGGCCTTAATAAGTAAAAACTATCAAAAATGACCTAAATTGAATTTAATCAATTATACAGGTCTGCAACTGTTTGAGAACAATATGTTGGTGGTATTAGAGGGTTGCCTGTATCATGACTGGGAAGTAAGTGTATCAATTAAACCGGAACACTTTGACAAAAACCGATTAGACCCTGGACTCTTTAATAAGAACGCGGCATTAAAATTTAATTGATCATATGTCATGCATATACACTCTCATGGTCTTTGATGCATTCGAGTCATCATCTCTATATGAAACTTACCTCTTTGAAGATTATCACTTCGATCTTATAACTATGACGGTTATTTAAGTTTATTGTATTTGTATAAAGTTACAGTATCTAAATTGAATACTCCAGATTAGATATTGTATTTGTATTTTTCGTATAAAAAGGAGAGGTACATGCAATCATCAAAGAGGCAAAGATTTATCATCAACCTATTTACTCTCACAAAAGTTTTAACAATTTAGCCAATACATTTATTCTTGCAGTCCATCGTGCAACCATCATCGTATTAATTAACAAAGAAAGTGTTCAACACAAAATGATGGACCCACCTTAAGAAAACAATACAAGTAATAATAATGAAAAGAACGAAATTATATAGAAAAAGGATGTATACAAGCTCAAGGAAACATTAAGGCGGCAGTAACATATTTTGCATTTGTACGGATGATGAATTGCACACCAATCAATGTTACGTATTCTAATTTCTAATAACTAATTTATAAACACGTTTCAATAATGTACTTCAACTCCTTAAAGATCTAGTAAAACTCGTCTCCCACTCTCCCCGGTGGGAATTCGTGAGCTCTTATTAAGTGTTGATATGTGAGAGGTGCTGATTCAATAGGGTCCTTAACCTTTTTTTTTTTAAAAAAAAAAAAAAAAAAAAAAAAAAACCTATCTCTGTGACTTTATAGTTTATGTTTGACACGTTATTACTAAACCCGTAAATGTGCTTTATATATAGCATTAAATAGTTCTCCATAGTATTATAAATTTCTAATATCAAGTAGAACCTCCACCCACCACCTATACATTGCTTTGCCTCACACCGCAGCCCCGGTGCCGGGCACACCGGTTCGAGCCTCGATCAAACCAAACAAAATCCAAATGCAAGAGGATATAGCCTCTCTTTATTCCACCAGTAGTCCAGTACCATATATATTACATCCCACAACATCAAAGCAAAGCAAACACAAAAGGCAAGAGAAAAAAAAACCCTCACAAATCACTAATACTAATAACAAAACCATAAATAACATCATAAGTATATATAGCTACATATAAATCATAAAAGTCCTACTATTTACTCATATAAAAGTAACATAATAGGAACTAATTAGTAACACCATATAACAAAAGCCTTAAATAAGATCACATACCACATACTATATTGTCCACATATATATTATATATATATTTATAGTAGTAGTTGTTGTATCATCAAAGATATAATCAACCACTTAATTAATTTTCCCACTCATAAAATAAAATAAAAGCTTAACAATAAGCACTACATTTTTTCTTGCAATCCATGGTGCAACCACCACCTCCACCACCACCACCATAACCCTTGCCAGACCTACTAAAGGAGTAAAAACACTTAGCAGGGCACGTTAGTTTCTTCATGTAACATGGACCCTTTTCCTTGCACACCACACTAGGCCTTACGGTCCCACTCTTTCCGTGGCCCCCGCTCGGGGACCCGTATCCGTATCCATACCCGCCTCCGAACATACCCGGGTCGTTGAACCCGGGTATGCCAAACCCGCCACCCGGCCCAAAGAAGTCGCCGCCGTTGTTGTGCCCCTTGGGCTTGGCCCCCTTGGAAGTCGGGTCGGGCCGGGTGGCCCGGGTTAGGGAAGTGAGGGTTGTGATGATGAGGAGAGTAAGGAAGAGACTTGCTTTTGTTGGTTTGATGATGTTCATAGTTTTTTTTTTTTGGGTTTGAAGATTTGTTTGTTGTTATGTGATTAGATGTGTAAGGATATGGACTAAAGTGAGATGGGTGTGAAGATGTGTATTTATAAAGAAAGAGAAAGCATTTAAGAGAGCAAGTGAGGGGCAGTTGGGTCACTTGAGTGTGTGTGCGGGAAAAATAAAAATATCAAAATGTGTACGCATTATAGAATATCACTTTCTTTGATCTTTTGTTTATCAATTGGCAAAAGCGTAATTATTAGAAATAGGCCCAATATGTATTGATATAAAACATATAATTATGCAAACGACATGTTGACTGGATATATTTGTTGAGTTATTTGCGATTTTGTCATTTGATATTTGTTTATATATATCAGGATGATAAATTAGATCTTTCTCTATTGGTTGGAACTAGTTCTTTGCCCGAGCAACGCTCATATGTTCACTAATTTATTTTTATAAATTACTATGACTCTACGTTGTTTATAATCTTTTTTAATCCGCTATCTCACTTTTCTTTATTATATATAATGTAAAAAAAAATATTTATTTAAAGTAGTTGTAATTGTTCTATTGTTTGGGTTATTGCTTAGGCGGTAGAATTTTTTCTTAAAAGATAGATTATCTTAATTTTTTTAACCAAAAAAAAATGAAGTAAAGTTTTTGGAGGGAAATTTTTTTAATATAAACGCGACACGTGTACTTTAGTGATAAAGCTGGTGATTACTTTAGTATATAGTATTGATTGATTGATATCTCAATCAAAATCAAAGTGCTTAAATTTTTTTTATTATAAGTACTCATCGATATATAATGATATTGAACATATTTTTTGACGTGCTTATGTTATAAATTTATCCATTTTGAAAAAAAATAACCATTATTAATACTTTAGTTTTTGAGTGGCCGCAACAAAACTTTAAAAAAAAAAAATTAAAAACGAAATTTAAAACGATGTATGAAGAATAATCCATAAAAAATGAAGCAGGTGTTTTATTATTACGAATCCACCTACAATTTTCACGAGATGTTAACTACTAGTATTTAAAAAAAAAAAATCAATTTCAAACAATAAAGTGGCAATAATCATAATTGAATTGAATTAAATGATGTAGGGATTAATTTAAAGTCGTCATTACTGAGAGGTTATTATAGATAGAATTATAGAAATATTAGTTAAGTCACCATATAAATTTCAAAAGAGGCAATTAGTGCTAGCTAGTTGATTAACATATGTAGAACACATGGGCAACTTAGGTATGGGGGTGTAAGATGGATTTAAATAAAATTAATTAAAAACAAAGGAGTAGGTTGGATGACATTAATCATGGTTATAAAGAGCACTTGCAATTGTGGTAATCTGAGCAGACAGGGTTGCTTTGATTGCATGTAGGCGTGGAAATTTTTAGAGGTGCACAAAAATAATCCTTCATTTTTAATTTTAGGGGTGGGACCCACATGGTGCATAAAAAAGGTGCAAAATTGATTGAGCTCACTATCTATAATCCGAAATAGGAAATTGGTGGAAAGCCAAATCCAATTGAACGAACTTTGTGGTACATTATACACTTGGAAGGTTCAACTTCTTTGGTCAAAATAGTTTATAAAGTTGGTGGTTTTTATTAATGGCTATCACAATACATGAACTTTTTTTTTTTTTTTTTCATTTTTCATTTTTCATTTTTATGCAATTGGCATGTAGTCTTTCCGTGTTGTTTGGAGTGCTAGCTCTTTTATGGTTTTAAATTCATATACTGGTAGTGAAATACTTCGTAGATAAGAAGTTTAAGAAAAGATAAGAAGTTTAATTATCTGTTCTTTTCGGCTTATTTTCAGTTCAATTCAGTTCCAATTAGTTCATTTTAGTTCTTTTCTTAATTTCCTTCTTTCTTAAAATATTCAGTTCAGTTCAGTTTAATTCAATTCAGCTTATTTCATTCAATCAGAACAGGCCCTAAGTATGACATTATGACATACCATATAGATAATAAATATACCAATAGTCTTAAATTATGGAAGACTAAGGACTTAAAGAGTGTACAAGTGAAAGAGTGAGTGCATAGCATGACAACCACGCGATCTATTTCATGTGCACAAATGATGTCACGTGCTAGTGTGTGCAACGCACGCACGCATTCAATGGTGTAGATGATGTATTGATATGCTTCATATATGCTAATTGGAGTCGAGTTCAAACTTTAGTTGTTTGCAATATTACGGAAAAGAAGAATAAGTATGGTAATGTAGAATTATTTAGACATATACTTATATTAATTATGCCTTATGAGTTTTGATTTCTATGTCATTATTGTACAAATATATATGTTCAATGTTCATCATTGAATAATATTCTCTATGGTATCCATTACTCTGTATCATTTTAATTCACAACTCTTAAACTCTGTTCTTTATAACTGAATTAATCTGATAAAAATATTTCCCTAGTGGAGTAAGATTGATTTATTTTTTTTAATTTTTTTTTCCAATCAAATAATTTTAGCTTTACAAATCGATAATCCATAAAAGCATTAAGGAGAAGACAATATTTAGAATAGTAAAAGACAACAGTAGAATGCAATGAAGGAAAGGAAAAAAACAAAGGAACTTGACAATAATAGAAAGAATTAGAAGGGAACAAAAGGGAAATTTTCGATATAGAGCGCAAGAGGGTATACATGGTAGGCCAACTAAAGCTCCAGTATATAATTTTGTACTCTTGTGTACTTAATAATGATTTATACTAATAAACTAGTTCGTTGCACGATTTTTAAACGTATAGGGCGAGCCATGGCCTAGATAGCCCCTTCGAGTTTTAACCATGTGTGGCGTTATTACACGGTTACACCTCTAGCTAGCATAGATAATGATCGAACCAAATATGTGTCCGCGAATGCTCCTTATATAGCAGATGGCACCACACTCGAAAACATCTCTATTAACAATAATCGCTGCTTTATTTAAATTATCATTCACCGTAATCTACTCTCACAATCTTAAGCCAATCGTACAACTGAAGTCAAACTTGTAAGACAAATTTGTTATGAGGTGATCCAAGAGCTTTCTTAATTGGTCCAGATATTGATGTGAAAGTTTTGTATGTGAATAGTTGTGTCTTGTGTAATTGAATATTTGTACGTGTTAATTCGATATTAGTAGCAATTCCCTTCGTTTTTATTTATTGGTTATGTTTGATCTTTTTGTGAGAGAAAAATAGTCAAATAGTAACTAACAAAAGGAAACGAACATAAGAGCATAGTTTACTATATATGATTTTTTTTTTAATACATATATATGAAAAAAAAAAAAAAAATTATGATTGTTTCTATGATACCCTAAACCCTAAACCATCTCCCCAAACTCAACTGTAGTTCGATCAATTTAATTTAATTTGGTCAAGAAGTTGATAGCTAAAACTAAAACACATGTTATTGTCTAAGTTGTCTGTCGTCCTTATGTCCTAGGTAAGGTTTTTTGGCACATATATTTCTTTATTCAACTACCAAAATTACTTACACAAACATGCTAATCAATTAATCGTCACGGTGTAAGCCAAGTGTTAAAAAGGATTGATAAGAGATGGATTGAGCTAAGCTAGCTACATGAATATCAATAATAACATTAAATGCAAAACAAGGGTAGATAGCAAGATACATGTTGGGTGATGAGAAGCAATTACTTCGTAATCTGGCCATCCTAAGCTAAGAAAATTCCCAAATGGCCCTCTTTTCATTTGTCAATTCATTATCATAATAATTTAATTTATGACGTTTTTAAAAAGTCAATATCTTGAGATCTTATTTTGATTATTTGTCAAATTTTCTGTATATACACAACATTCTTGAGCGATTGATTAATGTGGGTAGGCAGTAGGCACCCTCAATTTCCTGCTTAAATATCTCCTTTTTAAGATGTACTCCTATGCTTATATTATAAAATTATTGTAATTATTGACGATTTTTATGAAAAAATTTCAACTACTTGTTGAAAATTTGGACATGATTTTGACAATTACCTCTAATCAAAAGAATTTTACAGTGGTTAGAAGATTCCAACGAACAAAATAACTCGCATAGCCTCTTTCTAAAATGGAGCCATTATTTTCATTTGAAATCAAATTATAACCGTTAATTTATACTCTGTAATAATTAAAAAATAAAAAATAATTGATTAAAGTACAATTATTTGTCATATGTATTCTCTTTATCCTCAAATAATAAAGTTTTTATTTCTATTTTACATGATTGTAATTTTGTAAAGACGCTCTGACTCTCTGAGTATAATTTTAAAAAACAATGACCTCAAGATACTAGAGTGGCGATTGATTATCTTAACCTAGTAGACTTTAGCAATTGGTTTATTACTAGTTTTGTTAAGAGCAAGCGTGCATCATCCATCCTATTCCAAATCTATTTTGAACTTCTTCAAACCATAAAATTTAATACTTATGTTCAGTCCCAAGCTAAGCTAAGGTCCCCCACCCATATATGAACCTAGTTGTGCTATCATACGGTTTAAACTAGTTGCATTGATGGATCAAAGATGAACCAAAGTTCAAAATCATATATCCCAATTTTGTGTATATATGTCCCATCCAAGAAAAGTCTAATCACATACAAGTCCAACAAGGTTCCATCTTGAAACCAATAGATATTAAACTAATATAATACGTACGTTAATATCTAAGCATATAATCTCCGATCCTCCTTTTTTTTTCAACGTGAAACAATTAGTTTCAAGACTCTCAACCCAACTCTGCGAACCTTATACACTATTGATGTACTAAAATTAAGAGCATGTGTAGTGACAGAGTTATATTTGAAATGAATTGCTAGCATTTATTTCCACATTACTTACAAAACTCTACAATACCGCGTTAAGTTGCACCCACCCCATGTACATGTTGTATGATACAAATCTCTAGTCTATGATCCTTATAAATGCTTGTAGGGTTATGTCCACATGCTAATCTTATCAAAGCTTTATAAAATATTTTCCAAGTATATATACAAGTATATTTTTTTGGTATTCCATCCGTTTCACCCTTTAGCTAATCTGAATTCGAGAATCAATTCTGAATGGTCAGGTAATAGTCCGATCCCTTGCCAATTATTGTTATTGCGGGGGATAAAAAATGTGGTCCTCCCAACCAAATCTAGTCTCATTCATTACAGCAACAACATCCAATTGGTCCAAGTATATGAATATATCGCTTCCAAATTTTAATTTATCCTATATCATTTATTAGCGTTTCTCCTAATATACGAAAGACCCTCATAAATAACGAGAATGCCGTACAACAATAGTACACCTATATACTTCACCAAAAAATTGTACACCTATATCGTCATTTTTGTTGCGTGATAAATAAAGATTGCAAGAACAATTATAGGATAGTCAATAGTTTGATACAGTTTAAGTATATATATTGAAAATAAAGAGAATGAACATAACACTTTATATGTTATACACTTATACTCCGTATTTAATTTAAATCATCAAAACAAAAGAGAAATTGTTGAATGCTATTTCATCTATCACTTTTAATTCTTTTCATTCTTCCTATGAACTACCTGCAATCAGATCAGCTGAGATGGCAATACTCGTCACTCCGTAGTTGTTACTCATCGTATCTCATGAATGATACCGATTGTAACGTAACAGCTCATAGTACCTTCGTTAAATATGTTGTGCAACTTTTAGGTATTATTTATTAAGTATAAAATATTTCAAAGTTGCATATAATATCTAACAGAGGTAGTATATAGATTTTCATCTTAACATCTATATGCAAATCACATGTAACGTTAACATGAGTACATAAACGGCATAATAAAATGTAACATGTAGGCATGCATAACCAAAAAGAAATGTTGTTGTCAAAATAAGGATATGCTAAAAAATTGAAAGGTGCAAATTATTTCCTCCCTGTCTCAATTTGAAAAAATATGTTTGACGACGTATATTTTTTTTCAATATATTTGTAGGATCTAAGCTTTAATTTCAAATAATTTAGTACTATATGTTCTATAAAGAATAAATGGACATTGATATAAACATTAGTTGATCAAACACCAATCTTAAATAACACTTTCAAATCTTTACTAACAAACTAATGACATTCACATATTGATACCATTATGAGATAGAATGAGGAATAACTTAAGTGGTTATAGCTCCCCTCCCAATTTCAGGTAATGTAATCGTAGGATCAATTCTCATTACATGTCTTTGTGGCACCAGAAAAACGTATTGATCCCTTATCGATATCATACTTTGTAAAGGAACATTAGTAGGAAGCCCTAGGCCGACATATGGGCAATTGGTAACATGGCCATGAGTGAGAACTTTAGGTTTGAACAATTTTGTCAAAGCATCATTATAAGATAATTGGGCCATATAGCTTTACCATGTGATAACCCTCAATCCTAATACGTTATTGGCCTATTGTTTTGGGATATGTCTACTAATGGACTACGTAATACTTATATCCAACTTTTCAATAATTTTCCACTTTCTTCTTTTGTGGGGCCTAGGAAATAACATATTTGTGGATCCAATTTTAATACAAGTCCAAATGTTCAAGACTTACATGATCACTATGCAAATAACACACAATAAATGGCCTACCTCTCAATAAATAAAAATACTATATGTCTATATTGGCTCATTGTTAAGGAGATATTTTCCCCATTTTCGAAGCAAAAAAGAGAAGGGAAAGGGAGGTGAGGTGAGGTGAGGGAGAAGGTGAGCGTCTAGTTTACTTTTAAATCTCTTCAACAATGTAGAGATTTAATTATTATAAGGGGAGCGTTCTTGTATTGAATATTCAAACAAAGGATGATACACTTCTCCTTTTCTCTTCTCTTTCTTTTTCTTCAATTCTCTCTATCCAAACATAGTGTAAATAATTTTATATATTCAATATAATTGATTTTATACATATCATGCATACAGATTAAGTGCTAGGTGGTGCAATATGATAGAAAGAGGATCGGAGCAACTTGTTCCACTTCCGCTTCTCATTTGTTTTACAAAAATATGGGTTCTTTAGTTTTGGGGGAAAAAAACAATTTTAATATAATATTATAATTACATTTTTGTTGTTATTTTCATTAAAAATACATTGTTAGATCGGATTATTTTCGAAGATTTCAAGACTAATGATGAAAACTCGAGTGATGATTGGGGATTCATCCTAAATTCATAAAAATGTTAATTGGAAACATCTGAACATTAATTAGTCAAATAAAAGATCATGGTAACAATCATTTAATGACGAGAGACATATTCTTAACCAACAAAAAATATCGATTATAGGGAAAGGGAACGGTTTCAAGTTTCAACCATTAAAGTGGGTAATGTAGTCCATAGGAACCACCCCAGCCCCTTTTCTATTTAGGTCCAAAATATCGAAGATTCCCCAAGGCATTACATTTGCACCATTTCTATGACGAGAGGCATGTCTATAACTAGACATGTGTTTTTAAGAGGTAAATTAGACTATTCAAACCACTCGGGTGGCTTTTGGGTGAAGCTCCTTGGTCTCTTTTCTTTTCAAATTTGAAATATTCAAAGATTCTCCAAAAATAAAGGCTATAATCCATGTTTTTGCACCATTATCCATTGTCAAAAATTCTAGTGACGATGGGAATGCATCTCTTGTTTTTGTTAAATTCAATCTCTTGTGTAAAACTTTCAACATATAAGCAGACTACACAAAGGGAGCACAAATGATTGAATTGATTTTTGTTGATTCAAACTTAAGTATCTAATATAAACCTTGATTAAAGTATATTTCGATCCAGCATTGTTCTTGTCATTTAAATTATTGATTTTTTTTTACTGAATAATGACCAAAAATGATCGATCAATATGTCAAAGCCACAACGTAGAAAGGATCTCGAAATGCATAATTACAAACTGCAAAACTGCATTCCATATGTTGTATCTGTACACAGCAGTAAACAATACAGCATAAATTTTGAATTACAGAGTTATATAGGAGAGGTGAAGACCTGATGCAACTGCAACTAGTGAACATGCCAAATTGCCAAATCTCAAGTCATTATGCTCGTCAAAGATGATCCCAGAATTGTTGCTGGTCTTATTACCCTGTAAGGCCAACTTTCATGTCAGCAACAGCAAATATCACAGTGTACTTCAGCTATAACAGAGTAATTTCATAGCACCTAAATGTCACTAAGATTCCAGGGCATCACAAGGCATATGCATAAGAAGTACGGTTGATGTCTCCTTTAAAATACTAGAGTTATCATGCTTAAAAGGGTAATAATCAGAAGATGGGTACTACAAATCACAGTAAACATCAAGAGTTTGTTTGCTCATAACAAACGTATATTTGTATACTGTTTCTTGTTAATATGTACAGTGAAATGACTTAACAAGATTAACAGCCAATGTACAAGTATTAAGAAAATCATCGACATGCTAAGAATCAAGATTACTCGTACTATTTTCCTAAGCACACCAGATGCTTAAGTTAAATAATTACACAGTAAGATATAGCAGTAATAAACTAATAACTAATAAGCATTGCTCACTTGATCTTGAGAATCATGAATGTATTTAAGAAAGAGGGTGAACTCTTCTTCTTTTTACATATGAGTCAGCAAGTCAATGGTTTATAAATCTGGGGTCTAGAAGAAACACCCTTTGCGTTGTGACTGAGTTGCATGTGTATGAGCTGGGAATCATCTGAGTGATCTAACCCCTCCCTTAAGGTGCCCTACGAAGGACTCTTGTCAGGAGTACTTGGGTGATATGGAATAATATTGCAGCTATCCTAAACATTTAATCAATCATGTTGGCCTCTACTATCTAGTTTAAACTCATATTCCCACCTCTACTAGCCAACTCTCATTTTCAACAAAGCTTGTAGCAATTCCTCAGTTAGCTGCATATGATAACACATAAATTCAGAATTTATTGAAATAAGAGGCCTCTTTGCTGAATAGTACACAAACAGGCAAAACCAAAATTAAGGTTCAAGTTCTATCTTAATTACAAGGCATACAAAATCCTTCTCAATGCTTTTTATTTTGTATTCATTATTGTAATGCTAAGAAATATGTTTATCAGTCTTTTCTACTCGTATCTCCTACAGTCATAGTAGTCATTCTATGGCTACCTTGTAAAAAATAACTGCTTACCAGGAAAAAAATCTGGATTCCTTTTGGTCTCCTTTGTTCAGTAAGTCACAAGCAGGAGGAATCCCAGCTAGCATCCACAGCTTGGATAATTTTTTGATGTAGCTGAACTCCAGCACAAGCAATAATACCACGGTCAAGACCTTCCAAATATATACCAGTTGAGAAGTTCAAGGGGTGCCCTCCTGCGTCCGTTACCACACCGCCAGCCTCTTGTATGATAACAGTACCAGCTGCATGATCCCATATCTTCTCCTTGTAACCAGACTTTGCAAACTTCATGAATATCTCTGCATCACCACGAGCAACAGCAGCATATTTGACCATGCTGTATACACGCAAAGGTTCCTTACTGCAGCAGAAGAATATAAAGAATATATCAGCAAACAATTGGTGATACATTGTTAGGAAGAAGAAGAGAGTGGCATTTCCCATTTTATATTATGACACTATAATGAATCAATCATACAGGGAAATATGAACCCTAAAATTTTCAGAATTAGAAGTGTATTGCTAGGTTTTAGGACGTAATATCCACTAGGATTGGTCCTAAGCGCAAACTGGGAAAGAGGGGGAGGGGGGTGGTGCTGGTGAGTGGCGTAGGTCTAATGTTTCTTCTCATTGATATTATTTCAACCATCTTTTCAGGACAGAGGTATAGCACCACCAAATGGTCCAAGTAAGGCCTGCTCTCACACACTAAAGAGAAATAACTCCATAAGTAATCTGAATAGAGGTTTTCTGCTTGGTTTGGACAAGTGAACTTTGAATAAGCAGTTTAAATGACTAACATCTCCTATAATTAAAATCAAATAAAACAAGAAAGTAACAGAAACCGAAGTTGGGATAAGAACAAGCTTTCAGAACTTTGTATGAAAAGAGAGATGCACCTAACTCCGACACTGTGAGCAAGTCCAGCAGTGAAAGAATGGCTAGAATTCGCCCTTTCAACAGGCTCACAGAAGGTAGCCAAGGAAGGATCTTCAGCGAGAGACACATAGACAGGTCTGGGAGATTTTAACTCAACCAAGTTCATAGATTGTGGAAGTAATGGCTGCATCCAAGATTTACCACTACCTTTTCTAGCATATAATACAAAACCTTTATCCCAAGACTCTGACCTTGGTGGGGTAAGCTTGGATATGATCCTATAGTAACGTTGATGATATGATAGCCACTCCTTCCTTAGTGGGTAATTAGGGCATCCTAAAATTCCAAGCACAACTTCTCCATCCTCAATCAGTGCTAGAGCAACTGCATATTGATCCCCACGCACAAAACCTAATGTGCCGTCAACGGGATCCAGAACCCAAAATCTACCACTAGGACCACCAATGGAATTGCACTGCCTTATTGCCTCTAAAACTTCTGTTTTCTTTAGGGGTCTTATCGGACCTTTAATTCCAAATTGAGGTGCTTCAGCTAAACACTCGTTGACAGTCTGTACTACAGAATCTAAGAGGACAGTTGCCTCAGGTTTTGAAAGAGCTTCAACATCTTCCTCAGCTACAATCGAGACATTTTTAATGCCAAAAGATTCAGACAGTACCCAGCTGATAGTGGCTTGGACACTCCAATCTGATTACATAATACAATGAACTAGATTACACAAGAGCCAGTTATAGGGGGAAAAAAAAAAAGACTTGTTAGAATTCAATTGACTCAGAAAAATTCAATTCATGATGTGTTGGATGATCCACAGCTTAAAGCCTTAAGTGGGTTCTCAACTTCTCATACTCCCTATAAGAATAACTTTAGTAAAAAATTTAGAAGTTGGAGATGTTATAATCCAAATGTTTGTTTCAGTGACAAAATTCAAGATAATCAATTTGGGTGGTAAATAAAACTCAACAACCAGAACATACTAATAGTTCTGGCAACCCTGCCAAGTATAAATCCTCTTCCACATGAATTATCGAAACATAAGCCAAGTAACCGAAAATAGATCATTGGGTCCCTGCAGTCTATTCAAGAATCTCCGCCAGTCCACCATACTAACTTCTTGCTACCCCAACATTTTTTTTTCCAAGTAAAATTTTAACTAAGTTGGAGTGGTAATAACTTTTACTTATCTAAACAACTACACAGTCATAACTAAGTTGGAGTGGTAATAACTTTTACTTATCTAAACAACTACAGTCATACTGAATGGAAAAAAAAAAATGAATTCCCACCAAAAATGTTATATAAAACTCCTAATTATTTTTACAAGGTTTGTTGCTTTTGAAAGTAATTATCCCGTATGGACGAGATGGGATGATGGGATCATATATTCATAAGTGCATTTCAGGTACAATCTTGTATCCCAATTCATAAGAATTCTGGTATGTCACCAACTAAAAATCAATACTTTATTGGTAAGACATAAGATGAAAGGGATAGAGGGATCCCTACCACATATGCCCCCTCTTTCAAAGGCATTATGTCACTTATTTTCTTAGCTAGTATGGTCTACGGAGAAACAGACTGGTTTTTAGCTCCTCAAAGAACGATGTCAAACACTGTAAACATATGAGAACTGTATTCTAATACATTAGATAATAATGAGTTTACTACTTAAAAATAAGGATTTCTACAACAACAAAGCCTTAGTCCCAAAATAAGGACTTTCTCTATTCACATACTCTTTGTCCTAAATTTTTTCACTGCTATTTTTTACCACTTCTCTTATCCACTTTATTGCAAGAATTGCCTGTTAGATTTTTGTACTACCCTTAGTTCCTTTACGTTAGTCACACTTATGTTTTTTCCATACTAGCAAAACTTTTTGTTACACCAACATTCTCTTTCTTATTTCTTACATAAACCCCTCTTAAAATATTCTATCTTCTCCTTTTTCTTATGCATACCCTACATTCCCAATTCCCACTTTCTACACTCTCTTACCCTCCTTGGTTTATTGACTAAAAGTTTCTATAGTAAATAAAACTATCTTCATTCAAGAACCCGTCTTTCACCTTTTTTTTTTTTTTTCTTTTTACAAGTTTTGCAATACTATGTAGCCCTAAGGGCAATGCACTAGCATCAAATACATTTCCTAAATCAATAACAAATTCAAATCATGACAAAATCATGCGTCAATTGGTGTTATTAATGCATAGTCCTTACCGCTAAGTTTAGCATACTACAAACTTCATTTAACAAAACCATCCATTGTATATTGACATAAGAGAGAAAGACAAATGATATCCATGTCAATACGTTATAATACAATTCTCCTCAATTGTACATTTTACTTCTCCCAAAAATTCACCTAACTTTCCAAACTAGTCTAAAAACTTCAAGCTGACTAAAGTCACTAAACCAATCAGTCACCAAATTCCTTATTTAAATTCAAAATCCAACAATGATTCTATAAACTCAAAATTCAAACATTTACAATCAACCCATTATAATTCAATAGATAAAATTGCAAAAAAATTACGAACCCATCTTATAAAATTGAAAATTTCAAACAAAATTATAAAATTTACCTGCAATTGTGACAAGGGATTTATCATCTTTGGATTGAACAAGAGAGTTAGCCTTAGAAATCAAACCCTCTTGTACCCTTTGGCATAAAGAACAAGCCAATTGAACAGCTTTAACAGCAACATCCAATTCCGCAGAATATTTATCCTCCGTTGAATCTAAAATTGTGGGGTTTAATAGAGCATTTTTCTCCATAATTGAGGGTTTTAAGCAGCAAATTCTGGAAAAATTGGAGTGAGAAGAGAAGGTGATTTTGGTATGATTAAAGGTGAATTGGGAAAATTGTTTACTAGTCAAAGAAAATGGTAGTTGAGAAGAAAGAGTTGATCGATATATTACAGGCATTTTTATGGTTGGCGATTTCCCACGGTTACACCTTTTGCAAAGACGATGATGAACTGATGATGGTGATGAGTTTGATATGTGCTTTGATTTTGAAACAAGATGTTTTATATTATCTGCTACGTGGGGATGCAATATAACCTACTTCGTATATAGGGAGTTAGGAATCCTCTCCAAAAAAAAACATATGGTTGATTGCAGCTTTAACCACTTAAATTATTCCTTACTCTCAAATAAATTGTTGATTGAAAATTTTTAACCACGACTATTCATCACTCTAAAAAAATAACAAAAAATCATTAATCCTATAATATGCTACATTAATAGGAAATAAGGGTCTGTTCACATTACTTGAACTGAGCTGAACTAATTAGAGCGGAACTGAATTGAACTGAACTGATTAAAGCTGAACTGAACTGAGCTATGAGAGAGGGAAATTAGAAGTTGAATTGAACTGAACTAACTGATTAGAGCTGAACTGAACTGAACTGAACTGATTAGAGATGAACTGAACTGAAGCTAAGTAAATGTGAATAAACCCTAAGAATTTTCTATAAAGATGGAAATTATTGACTTAATGGTTTAGGTTGTATAAAAATAGATACTAGTATGTATATGAAAATTTTAAGATACATCAGCCTGTACCATGCTTGGTACAAACAAAAAGCGCGGAAAGAACATGTAGTTGTTTTGTAAAGAACTTACTGCTCTTTTTTAAAGAACATATATCAGTTTTGTAAGAGCACTCATATTAGTGAGCAAAAATTTTATTTGCTCAATCTCTCTCTAGCTACTTTCTCTCTCTTCCCAACCAATTTGCTCATTAGCATTTTTGGTGAGGAAATTTTATCCCACTAGTGATCAAAAAATAATTGAATTGCTCATGAGCATATTTTATTTTGCTCATTGATGTAGTAACATTTATACCATTTTTGCTCATCAATTTTGGATGAATGTTGGGGCCCACGAGATTACTATTCATCATGAAATTTTCTCATCCTATGAGCAAATTCTAAAATGCTCATGAGCATTTTTCATTTTCCTCATTGATGTAGTACCATTTCTACCAAATATGCTCACCATTTTTGCTCATGAGCAAAAAAATGCTCACTGATGTGAATGCTCTAAGGAACATCTAATTTTATTTATTTTTGTATATATAAAGAACACCTGTAATATTAATAAAGAACATGAAAATATTATGTAATGAACAGTATTTATATATATCTACCGTAATTTTAAGAAAAAATTCAATGAACATTTCACAATAAGAAATGAACAATATATCACGAATAAAAATATGTTCTTTTCACTCTTGTTTGGTGCAAACATGTTCTTTTTTACTTTAGGTATATGTTCTTTACATTGCAATAGTATTTTCTTTTCTTTGCAGTTGTATGTTCTTTACATTTGTATAATATGTTCTTTTTGTGAAACGATGGTACGATACAAGGTACCCCCCATGTCTGTAGGAACCACACATTGGTATAAATATAGATTTGCTCTTTTCTCTTCACTAGGGTTTTAGTCTTCCCGGTAATTTAATTTTGTTTGTTGCTTTGATTTTGTTTGTTTTCTTTATTTGTGAGAGTCTGACTCAAATTTCTGGGATTTTGATTCTCGTTTATGGATGGAAAATGTTATTTTAGGAATTCTAATAATAATTGGAACGATGATTTGGATTCTTATAGGTTTACGGTTTATCATTAGCATGCAGATTGCAAAGGCCTCTCACTTGAAAAGATGTGAATCTGCTACCGTCAAGATTGAAGCGGTGGAGTGTGAGTTTGCCAAATATAATAGTTATGGTTGTAAAATTTATGTTATTATCTTTAAATCTTTGGTTTAGAAATCTTTTTTATTATTATTGTCGATACTACGCATAGCTATTTATTAATGATATTGTTCTTCTGATGGATTAAGGGCCTGTTCCGATTGACTGAACTCAGCTGAACTGAATTGAACTGAACTTATTAATTAGTGATTTTTAACTACGGATTAATGATCTTTGATTATTTATTGATTATTTATTACTATACATATGTGTATATACAAATGTACATATTATTATTAACAATATTATTATTATTATTATTAATTATTGATGATTATTATTATTATTTATTGATTATTATTATTATTATTGTTATTATTATTATTATTATTATTATTATTATTTATTGATGATTATTATTATTATTTATTGATTATTATTATTAGTATTATTATTTCAATTATTATTGTTATTATTATTATTATTATTATTTATTGATGATTATTATTGATTAGGGGATTTTTATCCTCCAATCACCGTCTGACAAGTGGACCAACCAGGTTCCGCCACGTGTCCTTCACGTAGGCCAATAGGAGCCTGCCACGTGTCGATCACAGATACGTCCTCTGTGGACCAATTGAGACACGCCATGTGTCCGCCCATGCCAAATGGGAAAACCGGCCACCAAGGCCCAATCCTGTCTAGAGGCCCGGTCAGCCCTAGGTTTACCCTAAACCTAGAGAGTGGCACGCTTCTCAAGACTATAAATACTCCTCTTAATCCTCATTAAGAGGAGGACGGAAAAGAGAGAATCAGAGAGAGAAAAAGTGACAGAACACTAATCACTCACGGATTATACATCAAACACTCTCACCTAGAGAGACCTTATTACTTTAATTTCCGTAATCATTACTCCTTAATCAGGTACTAACTTGACCGTTGGAGGCGGAGCTCTCAGGAGTCTCCGTTATTTTGCAGGTACAGGCGTCCGGTTCCAGTCTCGGAATTGTAACTCTCCCGCAGGACATCAGAAAACCCCGAAACATTTGGCGCCGTCTGTGGGGAGAGTACTTCTGAGATGGCATCCAAGTCTGTACCGACTCCTGAAGAGAGGCGTCCCCTAGACGACCCTCAAGTTCAGTCGGACCATGACACCGAAAGTGAATTTGAAGTGGAAACTCATACAGCTCCAGACGGGACCCTAAGGGCCCGACGTACCCGTCATACCGAAAGGGGGGAACGGGAGCATCTTCAAACAGGAAGCGAGCCAGCAGGCGCCCAGCCTGCTCGGCAACAGCCGACTGATGGGTCTGCTCCCATCACAAGGAACGAACTCATGACCTTCATGAGGGGCTTCAAGGGAGAGATTCAAGAATTGATCAACAAACAGCCGCCTGCTTCAGTCAGAGAGCAGTCGGCCAAAAAACCTTCCACTTCACTGAAGAGGAAGCCAGTTCAAGGGCGAGAGGCGACTCCTCATCCTAAATCCAAGAAGCGGGAGCCACTTGCTCTTGATTTCACAAAATTCCGTTATCCTACGGGAAATAGGAAACCTGTTCGTCACATTCAGGCGGACGGGTCGAAGAAAACATACACAGACGCTCGTCTGCTGTTAGAACAGAAGAAGAGTGATCGACTGTCAGAGTCGGCCTCTACTTCAAATTTTCAAGAAAGTTTACAAAATACCTCCATGAGGCATACACAATCGTACCATGAGAGTCAGTCAGGCGGTACCTCCCGTCAGTCCGGCTTTCATAGTGCCCAAGCGGTACCAAACTTACCATTTGTGCCGCAACAACAGTATTTTATGCAGCCACCTCCATTTGGTGGACCTGCAGCAAAAAACGTCCAACCTATGGACTGGCAGCTACGGTTGCTTAGACTTGGTGAACAGCCGTCGGCTTTCTCCAAGGAAATTACTGAAGCCGTTCAGCCGGCCAAAGTAAAAAATGTACTAGTAGGCGCCTATGACGGCACTACTAATCCGGAAGACCATCTGATGGCATTCACCAACCTGATGTACCTTCAAGGGTTGGATGATCCCACTTGGTGCAAGTGTTTCCCAGCGACTCTCAAGGGAATCGCACAGCAATGGTTCGGCAACCTGCCGACTGGTTGTGTAAACAGCTTCAGGACGCTTGCTTACTTGTTTGCCTCCAACTTCGCCATGAACATCCCTGCAAAGAAAACGACCCTTGATTTGGGAACAATTCAGCAGGGTGAGAAGGAGGGGCTTCGTTCTTACATCAGGCGGTTCAACCTGATGAGAATACAGATTCAAGGGTTACCGGATGAGGTAGCCTATACTGACTTTTTTAGAGGTCTCAAAGACGGGTCTACCTTCAAATTTGACTTAGTTCGAAAAAGGGTGGCGACTCTTCAAGAGGCCTTGATTGAAGCAGAAGCCTATATACAGGCGACTGATCTGTGTACGATAAAACAGTCGGACGGGAAAAGGTTCGACAAAAGAGAAGGACGACAAAAACAGTCGTCTCATAAAGAGGAGAAAAGAAAAGAGGTCTGGGCGGCCGATTCCTCTAAACAGCCGGCCCAGAAGAAGAAAAAAGAATTCAAACCATACTCCCCAAAGTATGTGTTTAACAAGGATAACCAGTTTATCCTAAAAGAAATAAAGGGACGTTTTTCAATTGAGAAGCCGCTCCCCGTGAAGGGTTCTGCAACCAACCGGAACCAAGACAAAGTCTGTGCTTATCATGATGACGTTGGTCATCACACCAATGACTGCATCAGTCTCATGCGGTACCTAGACCGCTTGGCTGAGCAAGGTGATCTTGACACTTATGTCAAGAAATCTACGGGGAATACTTCCTCAAAAAAGCAGTCGGCCAAAAAGAATCAACAGGCCGACAGTTCCGATACAGATGATGCAGTCGTCTACACTATTGCAGGCGGCTTCTCAGGAGGCGGCCCCACTATTAGGGGCAACAAAGATAATATAAGGCGGTTAGATGTAAATTCCGTTCACCAAGAACGGCCGTCCAAATATACGTTTCCTGAGATTGTCATCACTGAAGAGGATCTAGGAGGGGTAAGGGGGCCGCATGATGACCCTCTTGTTATTGAATGTAAAGTGGCCAACCAGAGAGTTGGCCGAATCCTCATAGATACCGGGAGCTCCTCAGATCTCTCAGCAGCAAATGTCTGTCAAAACTGAAATATCAGACGGACTGCATACATCCGGCCTCCCACCCTTTAATAGGGTTTGGAGGAGGAGTCGTCCACCCACTGGGACGAGTAGATTTACCTATTCGCCTAGGCGAAAAAGGGGAAGGACGACACATGGTAGTCCGGTTCCTAGTAGTAGAGGAACTCTCGGCCTACAACATGATCCTGGGTCGACCAACCCTGAATAATTCCAAGGCTGTTATAATCCCGTCTCTTATGCTGCTTAAGTTTGAGAGGGATAATGGAACAGTCGGCTCCCTAAGGGGAGATCAGAGGATGGCCCGAGAATGCTATCTCTCGGATGTCAAGCCCACTGTTATGGCCACTGGGTCAAGTGGAGAAAAAACAGACCTTGACAATGT